ATCAACGCTCAACAAAACATTATTCGCTGCAGTTCCATATGAGGAATATTCACAATCAGTAAAACCATCGTGCATTCACTAATCATATCATTATTTCATTTCAAAACTTGATAGCATGAACAAAACTCGATTGCAATCATAATATTGTGCTTATAACTGAATCATATCAATCATCGCCATGTAGATAACTCATTTTGGATCAACCCTTCGATTGCATACGCATACTCAAAACAGCTAACTTGCAGTATTCCTCGACACAATTCGTTGTGTCGTCAATGTAAATATTCTCGCCAATTGCTCCTTTCTTGGCTCTCAACTGTTGCTCTCTGAGCCAAATATCGTAATTTCGTCGGGATGAATTATCTCTGAATGAAGATAATGAAAATGAAACAATCAAAGAACACATTTTGCCATTTTGAAAATTTTCCCATCTTCACCAGCACGCTTTTGCCAACTTAAGCTGACACTTCTTTTGGAGACGACGGCTTATATCCATCAACACTTTACAAACAATTGATTNTCAAGTATTTCACACGTCAAATGTGACGAATTAATTGCGCAATGAATGAGACAGAACATAAATAATGAACAACTTCAGTGTTTGCCAAGCGTTTGTGATAAGTGTAATCGCGTTGCTATTCGAGTTATCGCTGCCACCAGCCTTATCTGGATGATTGTCTCGCAATGCTTTGAAATAAGCCTTCTTTAATTCAGTATCAGTTGCGTTTGAGGCACATCCCAGAACGTCATAACATGTCTTCATCGCATTATTTACCTCTTCAAAACGGCATTTTCATATCATTTCGAGTTTCACTAAACGTTCAATTTCGTCTCTTCTTTCAACAAATCAACAAGATGTTCATAACAATTCCGCGTTCTTCATCTTAACCGAACAACAGCCATTCCATATTATTGTGCTTTCTCATTCCTCATCGATCGCACCGTCTCAATTCCACATTGAGAGTCTAATGTAAAGAGTCTAATAAACACTTGTCTACAAACAAATATGCGAAGTCTCATTTACCAGCGGAAATTGAGAGAAATTTCTTTTTACTTTCAAACATTACAATTGTTCAATTTTCAATTCACACTCAAATCAAAATCCAAATATGTCACATTGTTCATCCAAACACAACAAACCCCAATTCTAATACGTAGTGGATTCTCTAAAACTTTCAAACATAATTCGCGTTGAATAGCAGAACAATATTGTTGCTTAAGGAAAGCATTTTCAGTGTAATACTACTGCTTTGAGCAAAACGAACAAATATAAATAAATATTGAAACATTTATCTTAACTTTGTACACATCGAATCAATGAAGAAAACTTCCATATTACAAATAAATTTGGCTAAAGGAATTACATAAAGTTCTGATGAGTATTTAGAGAATACACACATTGATACTTCGTAATTCGAAGAATAACTTTAGTTCGAATGAATTTCGCATACATATTGACATACTGACTGATCATAGTCTTCGTAGTAGAGAACTCGTACCAAACAATTCACATATTTCTTGCCGTGATTAGGAAGAAAACGAGTAGAAATGGATAGGCAATGGTTTATTTTATTCGCATGCTTTGATAAAGCACTTAGAATAAGATTAAAGAATAAAATTCGAATACGAAAGAGACTCCTCGGTTAGGAAAAAATTTACTAATAACAAGAATGACGGCAGGAGATCAAAGAGACATAATCAATTAGCTCAGTTCTTATTCTTTCGTTGATAAATGAGAATCGAACACTTAAAAAAAAAAACAATGATAATTCAGCACAAAACACAATCAAACAAAACAAGAACGTCGATTATTTACAAAGTTTCTTCATTCAAAATATAATCAGTACATTAATTATATGTTTAACTGATGATAAATTAACGCCATTCACAAACAATAACGCCAACGCAACAAAAATTTCATAAAGCTGACATTAACACAATCGAATGTTTGTGTCGGAGACTCAGAAAAGACTATATTACTAGAAAAACAATTTGGTTAGAAACAAGCGCACCGAATAATTGGCTGATTTTAACTTCTCGAGTTTCTACTAACTACACGACATAGAACAAAGAAGACTGGAAGAGGAGCAACGGAAAGTGAGAGGAAAAAAAACAAAGAACAGAGAGAATGAGGAAAAAAGAAAGTACGCTGAACTATAAAAGAATAACTGAGATAATCAAAACTTGAAAATTGAGCAATCAGAGGAAATGCCAAGTTTTGAATTGCAATCGACCGATCGATCAATCGGGACTTTCAATCGACCGAATCGGTACAACGGGTCTCAACGGGATTCTCGAAGAGGGATCCGATCTGAGACTTTGACGTTCGGCATCCGTTGATCCAGCCACACTGTTTCTGGGTGATGAAGCACCGAACTTGTAGCTGAGATTTGCGTACTGCTTCAGACAAGGACACGTTTCGAGAAGAAACGAACAGAATGGTGCACGCATACCAAACCACCATTGGTTACCACCTCGCGCACCGAACGACATCAGCACCAGGCAAATCAACGAGATTATTAACGGTGTACAAACCACTATATATGGTATGTCTGCAGTTATGGCAGCATCGTCTTCGGACCACGTTATCGCATCCAGTTTTCCTGAAATTTTGCTCGAATGAGTGACACTATGCACTCAGCTCAGCCTTTAAGCAATTCCGATCACAATTTTTATCCCTATTCAAGTGAATTAATTCGTGCCCATTCGTGATAACGNAACGGAACTGGTATGTGAAGAAGAAAGCAAATAAATATAGACAAATAAAATGAACTGATAAAAGCAATGAAACAAACCGGTAAGAAGTAAAAGGAAAATTAATATTGGAATAACGAGTAAAGTATGGCACAGCGCTGAATACAAATGGTGTCTTCGTTGTGATGCTAACATATGCACTGAACGAGCCAACACTACGGCCAATACCAACGCATACAACACCTACTTTCATCATTATCAACATTCATTCTAATATTCAATTCAGAAACAATTCTCTAGAATTGCCAATTGAATTGAAAATTGCCCAAATTTTTCTCAATTATCTGTTCTCATATCCTTTTTATAATGCACTATTTTTTCCATGCTATCATATATGCATTTTTGCTATATTCTCTTCTCAATTGTCATCAGTATTCCTCTCGGCGATACATCAACAACACAAAATAATTACATTTTTGGAGAGAACGATGAATATAACAAAAGAAGCATGATTATAATCAAATAATTGCATATGATTACCCCAACAACGCAGAGTGATAACACCACCCATAGTGGTATGAATACGATTGACCAATGCCAGTCGAGTGTCGCATCTAATTTGAATGCGAGAAATACGAATTGTACAACACTTATTGAAAAGAATAACTCAAACTGAAATTTCATACATCAATAACATATGTGAATATGGTTACGTACGACCAACTAAATTGTAATTTACGACAACTACGTTGATATATAATTGTCTTGCACAGGACTCCCATTCTAAGTAATTAATAAACTCTAAATGAATAAAATTTATGATTTCAAAAATAATAAGTATTGGAAAAAAAAACAATTTTCAAATACTTATTACTTTCGAAAGGTTTCCGAAACCCTTAACTATTATAATCCATAATCGGTAAAAATGTGACATACGAATGAGTGAATTCCGATTACACACTGCACGATTTCATGGTTCTTCCAAAAAATTGCGACACGTGCAACAAGAATTGTAA